CATACTACGTTATCTCAATGAGCACTTTGCGCGGCAACCGGTCTCATCACCCTACTCAACCTGGCGCAAAATGGAAATGACGCTTCTGCTCGATATGCCGCTCGTAGACATAGGTAACTTGGTCTGTTTCACACATCAAGAACTGTGCTAGGAGAGGATACGGGCAAGGCAAGGCGATACCCCTCTCTTGCTCTCACCAATTATGCAAGACAAGAATGCACCTTCCCTAAAAAACGTGGGAATGTACGTTGTCGTCTTAACACAGTAATTTGCCTTTCGGTTCATCCGACACTACAAGTCCACTGAGGTAAGCGCTCATTCCCTGTCCCTCTCCCAAACACACAGCCCATGCATCCGCACTCCCGCAATACATGCATCTATACTTCGTTGTACCTACATCTGCACTCCCACTGGCTCGAGCCGCTTCACTATGCATTCACCCTTCCCTTGCTTAAGACGTATCCATCCACCATTGCACCCAGGTATACACTCAACAGAAGGGCACGACCACAAGCACGTCTTCCCCGTACTGTGATTCGTATTCCCCATCAGTCTTCTACCCCTCTCCCTCTTTGTAGCTTCACGACCGAATGTACCTCTCCACAGGTAAGTCTCTGACCCCGCGGCAAGGTGATAGAATGTTATTCAATCTATAGAAATAGTAAGCTCGAATGTATCTTCCGCTACAACACTGAAAGATACATCGCATTCGCGTAGAGGGATAGGGGGAGGTTACTATTACTGACCGAATGAGCGATTTTGATATGAACTTTCCGTTAGAAGCAGAAATGCACACTACTTTCCAGCTAACTGTGCCCAGAGCTATGCGGAGGGGCTACTTCCACTATTTAGAATGAGCGAAATCAATATGAATCTTCCACCAACCTGTGAAAGGTACATCGCCGCTTTCCCCTTTCTTTTGGGTGCGGTTTTTAATCAACATATTAATCTAAAGACCAATCTAACACTACTATCATGCTCGCACCACCTCGAAAACCCGAACTAGCCTATCCCCCCACTCGTTTTCTTCGAATGAGGTGTCCATTTTCTTGCTCTCACCATATCTACTCAATACTTCCACGCAGTCTCATTCTTTATTAACCCTTCTTCCACTCACTCTCGTCCTATTATGACCACGGATTCATGCTCACCAGCCATTAAAACCCCTATTTCGCTCCTTCTCTCGCTCGATTTCATAAAGGAACGAGCAAGATACTTAACTCTTGCTCTCTACCATATCTGCTTTCACCATTTCTCTTGCGCACGACTTTTCTTTACTAACTCCTATTTTACTAACTTTTTGTTAAAACTAACCTCCAATCCGTATTCGCCCGATATAGGAACGCTTATGTAGGTTCATCCCTTCCTCAATTTGGTCGAGGATCGAGGGAGACATTCGTTCTCCCTTCTTCTTCCGCTTGCTCCGCCATAGCCCGCTCACCCTCAGCATTGTTTCAGCCCCGCATGCACTTTGTCCACTTTCCAATCCGGGTTCGTTCCCCTCTTACTGTGTTCGTTCCTTGCCTCATCCGCTCCATTCTTCGAACATGTAATATTCTATTTTATGTGTATTTATTTTATGTYTATTATTGAGAATGTATTATCTATATATATAATCTAATTCTAATTATAATTATATATACATTCTCAATAAACAATGGAATGAATTTTTTGAATCTATTCTAATTACAATGTTTTTGGAGTCCGGAAGGAAGGTAATAGGTTCAAATAAGGAAGGGCTTACGGTGGATACCTAGGTACTCACCTTGGCACAGCTCCGCGTCCGGGATCAGCCTCTCCTCTCTGGTCCTCGACTCTCCCACTCTGCGCTCACCTCCTTCAAACCGACAGTGCCCACACCGCAGTGACCTGCCCGACGACTGCATCGCTTATTGAAAACTTCTAAGGGAATCGGATTGTCGGGCTGTATGGATAACGTCTCGCTCTTACGCCCGAGCCCGATGGAGGAGCTGCACAATAGTGTTGCTGCTGGCCTCCGCTACGCCAGCCCTGCTCCGCTCCGCACTGCTGCCCCCGGGCATCGGTCCTTCTCCCTTTGGGTCCCATCGGGCGTGCCCACAGTCCACGCTCTCACAGCAAGTCGAGGGATCGAAGGCGCGAACCGGCTGCAAACCCGTAGCATGAGTCGTTGGTGAAGCAGCCCCCGGTGCAGATCTCGGTGGTGATAGTAAACACCCAAATAAAGCTTTGAAGGCCGACGTGAGGAGGGACTCCATGCAAACCGCCGCTTGGGGAAGTCTGTCGCACAGTGAAACGCTGCGGCAGCCTACCACTGACATAGTTCACCATCTTACGAGTCCCAATGGGCAGGCTCACACTCAAGTCTCTCACAACAGATCATCGTCGGTGGACGGTCCGCTCACAACAACCCTCGCCTCCCTCGGGCTGCAATCGCACAAACCCGCTCGGAATGTTTCTCAAATTCCCTTCCACTTTAGGCTATTGATGCTCTCCCAGTGGGAAACGAGGGAAGCCGCGACCACGGATCCCACCGTTCCCATGTCCGTTGACCTCTTCAATTCGTATTTCAACGTGAGTAGGATGGGGGACGTTTTGTCGGCACCCTGTGTTTGGCGACGTAGCGACTGAGCCAGGCCAGTTGGTCCCGACACCAGCCTCATAACCGATCACGGAGCCAAAACAATAAAAATACAGTAGGGAAAATAATAATAATTACAAAATATAAACACGAGGAAAGCTAAAAAGGTAAGGGAACAAAAGGTCGCGCGACGCCTCGCATCCCTAGGCTGCGCATGGTTACGCCTCGCCGTCAATACCCCGCGCGCGCCGCTCACCCAGACGAGGACCTAAGCTTCCTCTCGCGCGCGTGCCGTCAAAGGAGCGAGTCTGCACTGGCGTATCTTGCAGAAAACACGCCAATGCAAGGGTATTTGGTACGACAACGCTCGTAGTCTTATTGCTTTGGCTACCTTAGGGCTGCATTCCCCACGCTCACTCGTATAGACAATTGAACGGATGCTCATTTCACATGGGCAACACCCGCATACCCCCGAGTTCGCAGCCCTAAGGCTGCGGTGTAGTGAGGCTTCGGCGTTTGTGTCAAGGTGTCGCATTTTTGGCGGCAGGCGACCAGGACGCAAAGTGGGTTCTCAGGTGGCAAAAAAAATTGGGGGACCGGTCCTTGGCAAAATTGCGGACTACCTACAGCTAGCTCTGGTAGAATCGAGACTTTTGGAAAAAGGAAGGACCGGTCCTTGGGTGGAAGCGGACCCCAAAAAGAAGTGGGGGGCATTGGACCGGTCCTCGAGTGGAAGTGGACCCCAAAAAGAAGTGAGGGCATGTGAACTGCAAAAGGGCCCTCAGGCCTAGTCGTTGAGGCCCGTCTTCTAAAAATATGGAGGTGAGGCGCAACGAAATAGGCATTTTGCAAGAGGCAATTTTGGCGATTTTTTGTGCTCGGAGGAACCACAGAAAAATCTGAAATTTTTAGAATCCATAGACGAGGTCGTGTTCTTTGCAGGAAAAATATTATAAGATTTTCAAAAAATCATTTAGACCGTGAAATAATAGTCGCGCCGATTCGGCACATTTGCCATTTTTGCCACTCAGCCATGTGTGGGCCAGCTGAAAAAATACGCCAAATTCAGTGAGTTTTCGCGCTCAGAAGAATTCGTGAAAAAACCTAAAAATTGGAGTTCTGGTAGATTTTATTGTGATCTTTACAGCAAAAATGCAAAAAAGAATAAAAAAAATCATTGCAATTGTGAAATAAATCGTGGCCGCAATTTGACCCATATTTTAATTTTGCCATTTAGCCTCTGCCTCTCTCTCTCTCTCTCTCTCTCTCTCTCTCTCTCTCTCTCTCTCTCTCTCTCTCTCTCTCTCTCTCTCTCTCTTTTCGTTGTGCGTCGTATATCCCAACTTTCCCTACAATCGTGTGCTGACCTCGCCCTCCCTTTATCCACACGGTTTCCTCACTGAAATCATTT